TTCAGCAGCAACAGCTCCACCACCTCCACCACCCATTCCCTCGAAAGGTGGATCAGTTCCAGCACCTCCACCACCGGCACGAGGCGGCGGAAATGGAGGGGGCCCACCACCGCCACCTCCTCTTGGAGGAGGAAGATCCTTGCGCGCTAAGGCAACTACTAAGTTGAAAAGATCGACACAACTAGGCAACCTGTATCGAACTCTGAAAGGAAAAGTGGAAGGCGAGAGCCTAACTGTAAAATCTGCTGGGAAAAAAGGTGCCATTGGAGGAGCAAGCAACGGAGGGAAACAAGGAATGGCTGATGCTCTAGCAGAGATGACAAAAAGGTATGCATTTGAACCATCACAACAAGTACTTACAAAAACTATATGCATTGAATTTTCATAACTTTTTTTTAAAAGGCTTGGATAGTTCACAAATTCGAATCAGTATGGAATATGTGTAAGATATGGGTACCCTTTCTTTTTTTTTCCAGCATATATGTATATATATGAAAAGAAGGGTACAAGTAATACCCACAGGTAGGAAAGTGGAAACACCAGTGACAACTATAAATGACCCAAGTTCATGCGCATGACAGCAAAAAGATGTTTACTTAAACAAAAACAAAAGACCCTCCAAAGAGACACCCTCCAACACTCTCCAAGTTCGTGCCCCTAAAAGCTTTGCTCTAGTTGCGTGCGTGAAAGCTGAAACACATTCTGTCCTTGACAGCCATTGGTTGTTTACTTGATATAGTGAACTTTGTGTTAACCATGAGGAAGACAAAAAGATAGCACTATCCAAAATCTTCTATGAATCGAAAAGTTGACCTTGAAGATGCATGAGTTTATTCCAAATGCTCCAAATAATAGCAAACCTCATCTTGATATTTTGAGCAACCCAAGACATAGTGTTGCCACAAATGTGTTTCTGTGTCCAAAGAATAAACAATTTCAATTTCCAGTCAAAAATACCAATGTTGCCAAACTTGGACAAAAAAACCAAGAGAAAAACGATGTATTCTAAAAATAAGCTTAATGATGATGATTTCTTACACCGTAAATCATCAAACAGATACTATCGTTAATATGACTTTTAACTTATTTATTATAAAAATCTAACAAATTATTATAAATGATGACTTATGATTGAAAGATGATGTAAAACTATTTACTCGATCAGTTGATTCAGATATATAATTTCTGAGCAAGTGATGCATTTCGTTATATTTTACAAGTCTTGGAGCCAAAGGTCCCACCTCTTAAAGTGTTTATTTCTTCTTTCCCTTTACTTAATTAGATCCTCTTACTTCCAACAAATAGAAGAAGATGTTCAGAAGTACACTGAGCAAATCATAGAGCTGAGATCTTCCATTACTAATTTCAAGACAAAGGAAATGGCAGAATTGATCAAGTTCCACAAAGAAGTTGAATCCGTTCTTGAGAATCTAACTGATGAGTCCCAGGTGAGTTTAGAAAATTCATGTCCATGTGGTTTGCAACTCCAAGCACTGCTGTTGGTTCTTTCATTTACCGTGGTAAGCAATTCTGTTGCTTCGTAGGTGCTATCACGGTTTGAAGGATTCCCCACAAAGAAGTTGGAAGCTATGAGAATGGCAGCAGCACTGTGCAATAAGTTGAACTCATTACTAACTGAGCTTCAAAACTGGAAAATAGTGCCTCCCCTCGGCCAGCAACTGGACAAGGTTGATCGTTATTTCAGCAAGGTAATCCAAAATCATCAAATTCATTTGATTACCTCCGTGTCCTTGTACATTCATTTCTAAATTCTAACCCAAAAGAGAAAAATACAGATCAAAACAGATTTGGATGCTTTGGAAAGAACCAAAGACGAAGAAACTAAGAAGTTTAAGGGTCACAACATCGAATTTGACTTCAGCATTCTTATAAAGATCAAGGAAGCATTGGTGGACCTTTCCTCCAATTGCATGGAGTTGGCACTTAAGGTATCATATCCAACTTAGAACAAACCAACACAACATAACACTTTTCACCAAACTATGAAATGAATTTGACTTTACTCGCATTTGTTGGGATTACCATTATGAAAATGCGTGTAAATATTTTGAAATAATTGATAAATACAATAAAGATATAACTTTTCTCTTGATTATAAATATATTAATTCCTCACAGATAAATAATTTAACATATCTCTAACAGCATTTGCTTAAACTCAATGCAGGAGAAGCGTAATGCCGCCGCCGCTGATGGTGGTGGTAAGAATGAGAGACCAAAAAAGGGAGGTGCTTCGTTGCTTTGGAAAGCTTTCCAATTTGCATTTCGGGTCTACACTTTTGCTGGTGGCCTTGATGATCGTGCAGACAAGCTAACAAAAGAATTGGCCCAGGAAATACAAAGTGACCCGAACCCTAACCAACTATGATTTAGTTGGATTTATGCTTTGTACATGCATGGAGTAAAAGTTGACATATATGGTTGTGACATGGTGAGGTTCTTTCTGCATATCCATCATGAACCCCCTATTTTAGTCTCAAAGCCATTTGTATATTAATGATCCTTGGCAATTCGGAGTTATAATTTTTAAATTTTGATAGGAGCTAGTCATGCTTGGAGAGTTTTGAAAATTAATTGCGGGAACTCTACTGGAAGTATGAAGCTAAACTTTGCAACTTCACCATAGGTTGTTCTATATATGTTTATATACATGATATATGTTGATATATATAGTTCCCCCTTATCAGTTTTGCCTTCATTCTATGTGTACCAAATACTAATCATAAAACACTTGTTACAAAAATTAGTAAAGATGGATATGAAAATAATAATAATAATAACAATAATAAAGAGAAAATATAAAGCTTTAAGACATGTATGAAATTACTCGCTCTCGTCGATCTCTATTGATCAATATGTATTTTGACGATTTTTCTTTTGAATAGTTCCCTTAATTCCCCCTCCACGCAAAATAAAAAAGGAAGTAATTTTGATCCAAAAACTATTAATTTGGTCGCTTTTTCTTCGTCTAAATTAGTTTTATTTATAGATAATTTTTTTCTTCTAATGAAGAGAAACAATCTTTCGAAGGAGCTATAATTGTTTATATACGTTTATAGACAATCTTGTGTGTGTGTGTGTTTTAATAAAAATGACTTTCTAAAAGTTCACTTAAATTTGAAAAATGGTTAACTATTCAATTTGGCATATATAAATAAACAAACCATACCTATTTTCTTCTTATTTCTCAATAACTTGTAGTTTCAGTTTTGTTTTGCCTTTTTTATGATTTTTTTCGCACAAAAAAAAAACATTATTTTCTCAATTCCCATTTCTTTTCACTTCATACTGTTTATTTCATCTCCTAATTGTCTTTAATTTTCTTTTTTTTAGGTACTTATCTTTGGAGTTTTTTTTAACAAACAAAAGGTGAGATAACTTTTATTGTCTTCTTTGATTTTTCGAGATTTTTTTTTATCTTGCTACGAGTATATATTAATTTCATATTTCTTTGAACTAAAGACTAATATTGTTTGTGGTGTGATTATCGCTAGTTCAAAGGATTCTTGTAGATATGAGGATCAAATACATTTTTAGTTAAATTAATCGTTTTCACAATATATAAATCTAAAATACTTAAATACTATGTTAACTTATCAATTTTTTCTAAAGATATCAAGAAGTATTCCCTCTAATTTTTTATATAAGAAAAAAAACAAATACCTTTTTTTATTCCCCTAATTTGAGTATCTTTGTTTCTTATCCGGAGAATACATATATGTTTCCTCATTGGAGATCAAGAGTATTATTTCATTTATATATTACTTCAATTCAACACCATTAGGAGCTAAGCCCCCTTTTATTGGAGTCATTTTCTAGTTTCCAAAAACAAAGACACCATACATTCCTTTGGTGTGCAAGGTGTGAATAAACTAATGGTTTTGGTGTCCCTCTAGTGTCGACCAATGAAGCGATGCCATGTGAAACAGTAACTTATGACATAAAAGTATTTTGAATATTTGATTTTTGTTTACCTTTTAATTGTGCAATCTGAAATTACATTTCTCTCTATCTTCGAATACCATCCTTTTAATGTCAAAGAAAACTAGCCCTTTGTTTTCAAAAACAGTTTACTATCTCTTGCCTTATACAAATATTTTTACAAATATTTTTTAAAATAATATTCGCAATAGTTTTTTTTACAAATTTTCTTGTAATAATCACTCTACAAATTTTTAAAAAAAAAAATTTAAATTACAAAAAATAATTTACAGGAATATTTTACAATTTTTTATAAAAAATAATCTACAATAAATCTACAATAAATTTTATTACAAATTTTTACAAACCCTAAACCCTAAATCCTAAACCCTAAACTTTTCATTATAAAAATTCACAGAAAGTATCATAAATTTTTTTTTATTATTCTTGCAAGTTTTCTTATGAAAACTACTTCCCATGTTATATTTATTAGTATTATAATAAATGGTAGAAAAATTTGTAACCGATTTTTCTTGTGTATTTTCCTGTCGATTATAGTATTATCAATAGTGATTTGACATGGGTATTTATGATGAAATTTCTTGTGAATTTAAAATTTGCAAGAAATTCAACAATAACTCAAAAAAATTACTTATAGATTTTAAATTTGTAAGAAAGTTACCTATAAATAATGAATTTGTAGAAAACTTTCTATAATAATTTATTTGATTTTTTTCTTTTGTATGATGATATGCGTAATAACCTTTCAAATAAAACACTTTGTTTATCTAAGACAAATGTATTAAATATCATATTTAATATATCTTATGGTTATATCATTTGTTTTCATGATATTATTCTTTAACAGATTAAAAGAATAAAAACTTTTTTGGTACTTGAAATTCATAAAGGATTAAGAATTTGTTTTTTATTAAAGAAAAGACAAGTAGAGATTTTGAAGTATGCAAAATCATCTAAAAAGTCATTTTTGATGGACACGTACAATAATTCCTTTCCTTTTGTAAGGTGATAAGTAATCTCTTTTATCGGATAAGAAATGATCATTTGGTGAAATGCATTTAATGCACCAATGAACACCTAACTACACACAAAAGGAAAATGAAGCAAGTAGACAAGCGACACTCAAGGATATATTTACAACTATCATCTTTAAATATCTTTGTCAATTAATTAATTCATTTTTTCTTTGTAAATTCTTTGTAAAGCTTTATGCTTAAAAGTTGTATCATGTCTTATGAGTAAGATGAAACTTGTTTTATCTTTATCCAGCTTAAAACTAGGTGTTTTAAAGAGACAAATCAAATAATACTTAGGTTAAGTCAATAATAACTTGTAAAAAAAATACTTCTATCTTTATAAAAGATAGTGAGACTTGATCAAGTTGTTAAGGAACTAGATGTAGTCTTATGGTTAAAACAAACAAGTATAAAAATATCTTGTGTTATTTTATTTGCTTCGTTTCCACTCTTTTGAATTTAATTACTTTACTATTTCACTATTTTGAAAAGGTGTCTAGTTTTCGATTGATATATAGTATTCAACTTTCTTCTAATGTTTTTCTTTCTCCAAATGCTACAAGCTCAATATTTATGTAAGTAATTATGATTTGTTCCCATATTTTGGAACCAAGGTCACTAAAATATTCTCATCGATCATTTTGAGCTTCCAAGTCTTCCAACAACTTTGTTATTGATCCCCAATCTTAAAGGACAACATTCAATATTGATGTCGAGGTCGTTATGCAAATAAGTTAAACTCCCATAGCTTCCCATAAACTTTGTGTCTATATGGTTTGATCCCATCATATATCATCATATTGGTCGTTGATAAATACGTCAAACGTTTACCTACTTATAGACTTAACACAATCAATATATAACAATCACTAACACCTCCTCAGTCTCACTCAATGACTACATAACCTACAGTGGCCTTTTCACAATTACACGTTTACTGGAATCCAAAGTGAAAGGGAATATTCTAAACGTAAAATATATAGAAGGTTTTTATGGAACCAAATTTTTGGGCTTTGGCTTGTGGTTCAGCCATGGAATGTCTACTTCTTGGAAAGAACACCTTGCCTTGTTATGCGAAGGTAATCTTTGACGACCTTCACACGCACGAGATATTTGCATTCTTGTTGTAGAACAAAAACTTATATTTTAACCAATTAAGGTTAGTGAATCCCTTCTTTTCTCACATTACTTTTGTTTTCCACATGTTTCATGTCTTATCCATGTTAATTTGCATGGTTAGCAAAGAAAATGGGGTCTCTTTCAGTAGTATAAAAGCTCCCCATGTCCTCATGGGCAGGTTATGTGCCATCACCCGTCCAACCATGGATAGTGTTATGTGGTTTTTTCCCTAAAGACCCATTATCAAGGTTAGGAGAACATCCAACATGGTAAGGAACTTTCCAAAAGGAAGCTTGGGAGTTTCTTGAGTGAGACAACTTACTTGTACATTGTAATAAGGTTATAGTTGATTAGGTCAACTTTTGCCCTAGGATCATGACTTTGATTATGGTCTAGGTCAATGAGAATTAGGGGTTGATGTTGTTGTTGTTGGGAATTTCTCAAATGGTATAAAGAGGCAATTTTTCATCATGTGTGTAAATAGAAGGCATTGTCCCCATTCAAGTTGGGTCACCAATTAAGCTCCCCAAGATTCTCTCATAAAAATAAAGGTACCAACGATATGGAAAGGAAAACTGTAAGGTTCATCATGTGGATAGACTTTTATGCGCTCTCACAGCTTCCTCAAACTTGGCTATATATGTAATTATGATTTACCAAGTGAGTAGCATGTCTAACCCTAAGGAGTGTGTTAGGAGGAAAATTGAAATCTATGATGTTAATTAAAAGATATTGGTTCGCAACAATTGTTGGGAAAACAAAATATTAAGGGGTCAATAATATGGGTTTTGAATTTTTTAACACTCAATTTCACGAAACGTTCTAGAACACATCATTTTGTTTTATTTTTTTATTTCTAATTATTTTTTATCTCAATTTTTTAACATAGAACATTGTAGAAAAGACAAGAGACAATAACCAAAGAAAAATAAAACATATTCATCATTGTGTATTGCACTCCTGTAGCATTAGCAAAGAGATGCTACTTAACCCAACCGAGTGAAACTCCAAAATTTGGATCCATCTTTCCAAGGAAATGTGCACAAACATTTCCTTCTCGCAAGTTATGATGCAACTGAACATTTCAAGACTCATTCAAAAGCTCTCTAATACTAACTATGATAGTTGCATATTTTTAAGGGTGTTGTTTGGGTGTTTTTGTCTTATATGAATGTCTAAAAAGATATTTTTCTCTTTTCTTCCGTATTCTACATGAAAAAATTGATATAGAAAATAATTAGAAATAAAAATTGATGTATTGCTCAAGTGTATTGTGAAAATTGAGTGTTAAGAAAAAACTCCAAATATTATTTAGTATATTCACTAATGCAAAAAGAAGATATTTAACACTTTCTATGTTGTGCTCTCTGGATTGTTTCATCATCTTCTTCATCTTCACATTCTCTATTGTGATGTTCTCTCCAACAACCCATCCTTGCATGCGTACGTAGTGCCCCTACTTTTCCTTCTTCGACAACGTCAACTTCATTTAGGCAACACATTCTCAAGTTTGTTATCATCTTTTCTTCTTCTTTTTACGCTTTGAGTGTCATTGTGGTGTTGTTAAATGATTATTTTAGTTATTGGGATAGATTTTTCATGAAATTGTTTCTATGTTTGAGTATTTTGTTTGTAAAAATGTGCAAATGAAGTTGGGGTGCTGGTTTTGGTGCATATTTTGTTACTATTAATACTCAGAGTAGCAGCACCAGAGTCCACCAATGCTAATTAAAAAAAACTAGTATTGTTAACAGTAGAAAATGTGACACCAATGTTAACATTAACAAGTATTGCATTTTACATTTTTTGTGTGCTTTGTATTTACACTATTTGTATAATTTGATCTTTATATTTTGTACAACTTTTTACATTTTTTTCTGTATATTTTGAAACTAATAGTTTTAGTTCCTATATAAACAAATTTTTAAAAATATTTTAGTCTCTATCAACACTTTTGATTTTTTTTATCTTCTTCCTCTTCATTTTCTTCTCTCCATTTTATTTTCTTCTTTTTATTTTTTCTCATTAATATATATTTTGGTTAATATTTTAATTTTTTTTTTAAAAAGGAATAGTTATTTAAAGGAATTAAGCTATGAAAAAATATATAATCTTTATGAATTAAAAAAGAGGTAAACAACATTTAAATAATTTTAAAAAAAATACTTATAATATTAACAAATAAATGCATTAAATGATGGGCCTATCTTACTAATGGGTAAGAAGGACCACCTTGAGACTATCTCATGACTGATCCTGGCAAAAAAAAGTACCAAAAATATATTATGTATATTACGTAAAAAAAAAAAATCATTGCACGTTTGAAAATTTTAAACGCTTTTTGATCCTCATTGGACATGATGGGAGTAGATATTTCTCATTTGCGGGACTCACATTATCTATATTGCTCATAGTCATTGGTCTATTTGAGATTGCTGGGAGTGTGCTGCACAATAGTCAATCATCGTACTAACATAAGACGCAAGCCACGAGATTTGAAATCTTTGGTTCCTCTCGTTTCACGCTTTTTATCACTTGCTTAATTTTTAAAATGAGTTACCTATATACTATTATGTGTAATTAATTGTCAATGATATGTCATAATTAAAATATTTAATTAATTGTCAGTGTAAAAGAATTTTATACTGACAGTGTATAGGCGATTAACTCTTCTAAAATTGGGTTTAAATATTTTTTTTTAGTTTCAATAATTTTATTTATTTTGTTTTTTAATTTTTATGATTTAAAATATATTTTTTGTCTTTATATTTATTTTTTTTAATATTTTTTAGTTCCTATAATTTAAGATAAATACTTTTAATCTTTATACATATAGTCTTTTAATCTTTAGTTTTTATCGTTATTTTTTTTTAATGTTGGTTATTTTGTGTTGAGATGATAGAGGTTCTCAATTTTGTGAGAATAAAAAAAATAGTGTCCCAATGATAGGCATCATAAGTGAAGGTTCAAAAGAAACATGAAGTGTTGAGAAATCTTATTAATTTTAACAAAATAAATTCAACATCAGACATATAAAGTTGAATTAATATTTTTGTCACGTCAACACAAAAAAGACAATATTACAAAATAAATTAATGATAGAGACTAAAAAAATTAAAAATTGCAAGTATAAGAACTAAAAAAGTTTATCTTAAATTATAAGATCTAAAAAAGATTAAAAAAGATGAGTATATGATTAAAAATATTTATTTTAAACTATGAGGATTAAAAGATGAAGTAAACAAAATTATAAGAACTAAAAAACTATTTTAACCTTAAAACTATTTATCACAATGGACTTGTTTTTGACACAAATTACGTCTTTGAGTTGTTAATAAAGTGGTGTCTCTATTGGTTATAGCGATACCAATGTCACATCATTTTTTTTTAAACTATTATAAGTCATGCAACATGATATACATTTGACAAGTATATCAATTATCATAAATAGTAAATTGGACAAAAGTTCAAGTTATCGAATCCACACGAACTTGAGTTATAATTGTTTAATGTAATTTTGATACTAAACATATGAGTTGATGAAAATTTTTGTTTAACAAGAAATATTAAATTTAGTAAAAATAAAATTAAGTAGTAAATTTTGTTGAGTTTGAATTTAAAATGAGAACAATTAGAGATTGATTCACTAACTTTTTCCATACAAATGCTCTCACATTTCCACTTAAAATTGCAATTATACAATTAATTCAATAACCCGCAATTCTATTTAAACCCTAATTCCCTAAGCGAGAAATTATAGGTTATTTAAGAAAAACCACAATTCCTTGATAATTTTTGTTGAACAATCTGCATTAGGGTCAAGAACCAAAAGTCGATTGATAAGATTTATCTTATTCCTAGTAATAAATGTTATTAACATTTTTATCTATGTCATCGTAATTTTAAAAAGGGTTTTCTAACCTCAATTAAAAATTATAAAATCATGTATAAGTGGGTTAGGTCACAACAAGCATTAAGTATAAGATAAAAACCATAAGCTGAATAAAGACTTTATTGAATGAAAAACACAAAATTTACATAGGTATAGTAGTTACCTTAATCTCCAACAATAAAGAACTTAGCAACTCATGACTAAGGAATGTACTAGAAAAGAGGGACCTTTGATCATCTTGTGACAACAAGGATGCTTTTACAAGAGTTCTCTTTAATATTTAAAACTGTGCTTAGAAAAGTATTGATACAAAGACTTTCTACAGATCATATTTTATAACATTTTTAATGGACTTTTAGGTCAATTATTCTCGCTCAAAGCTCCCATGTAGCTTGCTTTGAGCAAGCTTATGCAATCTTCTAGGGGTATTCTTTGTCTTGACTCACTTAGAGCGATTCTATGGTGGCTATGAGTGAATTGCACTTTCTCAAAGTGCTCATATAATTCGCTCTAAGCGAGCTTGTGTGATCATTCAGGGATTCTTTTTTACTTCACTCGCTTAGAACTCCCTTGTGGTAGTTTTGAGCGAATTTCACTCACTTTGAATGGGTAACCTGCTCATTTTAAGTAAGTTGATATCATCTTCATGAGTTGCTCTCTAACTTGGCTCGTTTCAAGCGAATTTCACTAATTCAGAGCGAGCAGATTTTCTATGTGACTTGGAGCGACAGTTTCCTTTGAGGCATATAACTTCATAAAATAAATTAACTTCTGGGAGGATCACTATAGGATATGCTACTCCATTTATTTTTATTTTTTATTTTTATTTTTGGAGGTTTGTTATAGTTTATATAGTGACCAAGTTTTAATTTTTTTTTTGGTTGCTTTTTCTTTGTTTTTTTTTGTACCATTAGCAATCCCAGTCCCTTATTTATTTATTTTAGATTTTTTTTCATTTATTTAAAAAAAACTAACAAATGAAGATAACTTATTTTAGAAAATAAAAAAAAAATATGCAAAATTTGTTTAATAAATATACTAAATCTTTTCAAAATCAATTACTTTCATTTTCATTTGGCTCGCTATGTGTCATAGCAACAAAAAATATTTTAAAAAAGGTTTGGACCGCTACAATGCACTTTTTTTTAAGAGGTCATTATAAGTTATAGTGCCATATTTTTGCGGTCATTATCCTATTTTTTCTTTCTTTTTGGGATCACTATAAGCTATAGTAATCTATTTTTTTTATATTTATTTTTTGGTTGCTCTTTTTTATTTTTATTTTTATTTTATTTTATTTTTTTACATTTTGGATATCACTGCTGTCCATACGAGTCTCTCCCGTTTTGGGTTAAAATTTTCATTTATTTGAAAAAGACTTGATAAATAAAGTTAATTTATTTTGAAAATTAAAAAATATTCTAGATTTATTTAATAAATATACAAAAAAAAAATAAATAAATCACTTCCATTTTTTTAAAATATTACACATTTGAAAAAATAAACTTAATTAAATGAAAAAAATTATAAAAACATTTAACAAAAAAAATAAGGTCGTTTAACTAAATGAAATAAATATAACAATATTTTAGCATATTAAATATTAAGTAAAAAAATTATTAAAAAATATTTTTCTTAAAAAAATTGTCTAAAATTTATCAAAAAATATACCTTAAATCTTTTTTAAAAAATGAATCAAATTTCAAATTTATATATGAAAATCTTAAAAATATAATATATTTTCAGTATTAAACAAAAAATAAAATAAAAATGGATCGCTATAAATTATAGTGACATAAAAAAATATTAAAATGAGGTTGTTATAGCTTATATACCGACATTAAACGAAACAATACAAAGAAGTACTTCTTTTTCATAAACAATTTATGTAAGCTGATTTTATTTATTTATTTGATCAAGAGCAGATTTTATTTGTATTTATGTTGAGTGGGTGATTGGTTATTCATTAGAAATTCGTTACACATTAAAAAAATGAAAAAAAAAATTGTACTATGGATCAAACTTTTGTTAAAAGCTCTTCCAACAAAAAATGAAACAACACTAAAGTTTTTGCCAATAAAACAACAAAATATGATATTGGGCATTGAGTAATAAAATCAATTAATAAATCATGATTTGTGCTCTAAAATTGCTGTCATAATATAAAATTTCAATTCAGTTAAACATTGTAAACAGGAAACACACGTGGGTTGCTTATAAGCAACCTCACTTGCCACATCTTCTTTTTCTTAGGAATAAGTACTTATATAGTCAATTTTTATAAATTTTAAGCAATTCACACACTAATTTTACGCTGGCAAGGAGAGTTGCTTATAATCGTCCTGACATATTTCTTATTCACTTGCAAACTCAATCTTTATGTCCTTAATGACAATTCCTTTTCCATATTTTGGCACCAACGTCACCACAATACTATCGTCATCTTCAGCTTCCAATTCTTCTAGCAAATCCGTCAATGCCAATCTCAAGCAAGTTTTGGTCTTCTTGTTCATGTTCCCATGTGAATGAGGCAAGCTCACAAAGCTTCCCGCAAACTCTGTATTGTTCGGTCCTACCACCTTGTCATCTTCATCATTGACAAACACATCAAACTTCACAGCCTCATCACGATCAAACTCAATCCCATCAACCACCAACACTTCTTCCTCTTCTTCCTTCTCCTTGGTGCTCCTCGACAGCTTTGGCCTTTTAACAATGGTACTCACCTTTGAGTTCAAAGCCAGTGGAAACTGGACACTCTTTGACGTAGTTTCAGCAGCCTGTGCTACACCGATGCCAAAATTTTGTGCCACTGCCACCTTCTTACCTTTAGGTCTTCTGGGTTTAGGTTTATTCTTGAGCCATGGAATGTCAACATCTTGGTAAACATACCCCAACTTTTTGGTGTCAAGGGAATCTTTGACCTTCACACGTACAAGATTCTTGTTTTCATCGTAGAAGAGAAAGCCGGAGTCTAACCAATCAGAGTCCGTGAAATCCCTTCTTTTTCCACCTGGTATTGTTTTCCATATGTTCCACATTCTATCCACGTTGGCATGGTGAGAATAGAAAACGGGGTCTCTTCCAGTGGCGTAGAATATCCCCATGTTCTCACGCTTAGGTTGTCTCTTATCACCAGTCCAAAGGTGCACAGAAGTATGTGGAACCTTCTCTAGAGTCCCAGCACCAGGTGTGCTTTCATCTCCGGCACGGTAAGGGCCTCCAAGGAAGAGCGATGGGAGTTTTGCACCAGAGACAACATTAGTATACATTATACTGAAGTTGCTTTTGATTAGGTCACTCGCACTGGTGTCTTCATCGTCGTTTTTGTTATAGTTAAGGTCTATGAGAGTTGGTGGCTGGTGGCTAAGATTCCTGAGAGGGTCGTAAAGAGGGGAGTTTGGATCTGTGTAGATGGAAGGGATTGTCATGCCACCATTAGAGTTGTCCCAGTTCCAAAATGGAAGAGCAAAGGTTGGATCATTGATCAAGCTCCCCAAGATTCTCTCGTAGAAATAAATGTACCAACGGTGGAAAGGGAAGAATAGCCAGGAAAAGTGGACTTGGAGTTGTAAGTCAGGGAAATCTACTTGTTTATAGGCACCATCACAGTAAGCACAGTGAATTTTAGCTTGTTGGGTGAAACTTCTAGGGTCATCGGAAGGAAGGGCTTTCATGAGCTTAAGGGCTTTTTTATATTTTTCTAGGTAGGAACCGTTGACCAAATGAGCAGCTGGTCTAACCCTAAGGGGTGTTCTAGGGGGAGGGAACTTGAAATCTATGATCTTGGAAGAATTTGGTGGGCAACAATTCAAGGGTCCTGCAGTTTCTGGTAAATCAGTTGGTAGACCACAAGTTTGAAAATCTGGTGGGAGAATAGGTGAAGCGATGGCTAAAGGGTCGTGGTTGTTGCTAAGGGTAGAAGCACCGTAGAGTCCTCCAAACCCAATGAGAACGTCTCTCCTATGTTTTCCTACAATGTTGTTGTTGTGTGATGGTTCTCCTTCTTTAGAGTTTGGTGTTGGCTTGTTTTGGCACGACACTTTGGAAACGTGACGGCGTTTTGGTTTGCTACGTTTGGTGGGGTGGCATGGGAACGTGGAAGTTGAGGAACAGATAGAAATGGCAAGAGGTGCGGAAAAATCGGTGAGGGACAAGCTTGATAGAGAGAAGATAGAAGCCATGGTGTTAATAATTGGTTACTATCCAATCTTTCTTGTGGCTCATAATGACACATCTACACTAGTATTGCCCTTTTATAATGAAGTTTTGAAGACTGTTCCATGGTAGCACTAGCTCATTCAGCAAATATTTTGAGAATGAAATTTCTTTGCATTGTTTATTGTGGAAAGTTATTTTACAGGGTAGAGGCCGCGTGAGGCACTGCCATGATTGTGACATGATTGAAGAGTCACCACAAAAGGTTACCACTTACCACATTATCAGTATCCATTTTTGGGTAATGGAGACGATAACATGTGGAATAAAAGTTTATATATCTGTTTAAAGCTTGAAGGCACCCCTTAATTCTCAAGATACTTGGTAATGGTATGGTAAGCATTCTGCAGAGAACGTACCTGCTAGCTGACACGAAACATCAATGATAAATCACGGATATACTATTTATTTTGGTTACGGACGTTTTAGAACTCTGATTGGTGAGATATACATATATGATATGATATACCTTCCACTGATGATAAAATCATGAATGTTACTCACCACATGTTAATCCATAAAAAAATATAAATAAAAAACTCGTTTTCTTTTGTCTCCTAGCAAGAGAATCTTTTATCTTGTGTCTTAAAATGTAAACTATATTTTTGTTATAATATTTAATTGTTATATTAAATTATACTTTTAATTCTTCATTTTATTTGTTAGATTTATTTTAATTTTTATATTTTAAAATATGTATTTTTTTCTTTATCTCTTAAATATGAATTAATTTGATCTTTTTAAAATAATAATTATTTTTAAATTTGAGATATGATTTTAGATTTTTTTTAATGATTTGAGACTTAAAATTCATCTTAGCAACTAAAGCTTAAGTAAATAAATACTGTACACATGATACAAATTACATAAAATTAAATAGGTTTGAAAGACAATTAAAAATTCAAAAGTTATAATTTTATATTATTTTTTAGTTATTTATAAGATATATTTAATATGATTTTCATTATATTTATAGTCTTTATAGATTCAAATGTCAATTGAATGTTATAATTTTTATATAATTGAATTTATTGTTACAAATTTCATGTCTTAAATCAATTAAAAATTGATTCAAAATTATGTCACAAAATTAAAAATTAGTATTATTTTAAAAGGAACAAATTAGTTCAAATATAAAAGATAAAATGACTAAAATAAATATTTTAAAATATAAATGACCAAAATAATTCTAACAAATAAGATAAAGAATCAAAATTATAATTGAGCCTACAATTTGTAATATTATACAAAGATCATATGATGAATGAGAGTCAAACTAATAGTTATGTTAATCCATCATTTATATATTACATACTAAACGTGAATGAATGTTTTATGTGTTTTTATAGACTATTTATGGATGGGGGCATTTTTAAGATTTTTTTTTATCTAATTCAATTTTTTAATATATTTATTTATAAATTAAATTTTAATATTTTAAAATAAGTTATTAATACTTAAAAAATAAATTTGTACTTTAATATAAATTATTTATCTTGAATATGAAATATAATTTATATATTTAAAAAACTATTTACACAAATTTTAAATATAATTTATATATCTAAATATAATATTTATTTGTGTATAATTTATTATAAATTTTAGTATATAAAATAAACATTTAATATGTGAAATGTATATGTTATAATACTAGTTTATGATATAAAAGAACATTTTATTAAATTTCTATTTAAGTTTTTATAATTTGTATTTAATTTTTTTTATAATTTGTTCATTTTAATTCTATTTTTTATAAAATTAAAATTTGTAACTATAAATCCTTGAAAACTAAGGTTGTTGAACCTTTGCTAGATACCGGTTGTTTTACATGTCCTCCTTTTTCTTGCAAGGACCATGGAGCCATAGTGTTGTTAAAAATATCTATAATGTCTAAGTCAACCGCACACGCAATATTATTGTGACTCTCAAATATTTTGCAATTTATTTTTATATTTTTCTAATTAAAAACTTTTTATTCTCGATCATTTTAGTACTTTATTTATAAGACACTTTTTTTATTAGGTTAGAATCCGTCTGTTTTTACTCCCATTATACGGTCACTGTTATGATACTCTCTTTCTACTTCCCAATACTAACCATCTCAGACAAAAATAAAAATAATATAAACATAGGTTGTTACAAATTTTATTATCCAAAATCAAATCTTTAACTTTAAGGTCTGATTTAAGAAAAATTAAAATTAAAAAATAAAAAAGAACCGATCTTACTATAAGACGCATGTGATCTCATAATTCTCTTTTACCATTTCGTGTGAGTCGTCACATCACATCACTGTTCCAAGGTCGGGAGATTATGAATGTATATGTATAAACGTTGATTTAAAGGTGAACATACATTTGTAAAATAAAAAATATCTCATACTTACTTTTTTATTTTGTGCTTTGAAAATTAAGATTATCCGTTTGAAACTTCTCAAACGTAAATTCAAACATAGACTTGGTCGCATCTTTGACTGTGGGACGATTGGTTTATGCTTATATTACTTCCGCGCTATAGATATACATGGGGCAGCAACATGACTCGCATCTTTCACCATGTGGGAATGTAGGACCCATCAACATTTACGAGTTTACTTTTTTTAAAAATATTTTATAATTCCTATGTGGAATCGCCAATATTAATTTTTTACATCAATAATACAATTTGACCATTTTCCACACTTAAAATGCACCCTTTTAAGGCAATTCGATCATTTTTACATTGAAAATACGTAGTTTTTTTTTTAATCGTATCCAGTTAGTTCCAGCAAAATCAAAAGTATAATGTAGTCTGAATAATAAGCTGATAAAAAAATTAAAATATTATATTTATTAGTTTACTTCTCCCACGTTTTTTTTTATACCTTTTTTATTGGTTTACTCTTGTTCACTCACACTATAATAAATATTACATATAGTGACATACAAAAGATATTACTATAAGTATAATATATATAAGTATATATCTATTTGACATATAGTTATATACAATTTTAGTGTTGATTTTGAATGATATTTAACAATATATTTTATGTATTACTATAGTTTATACCTATACTTTTTAATAATATACCAACATATATTATATTTATTATATAGATAAAAATAATTTTTAGTAACACATATTGTATCACTATGTGATGTATATTATTATATGACAATTTTCTTGTAGTGTAAAAATGAGATGGATATTTTGAGTTTTTCTAAAATGAAAAAAAAATGTCATGTGGGTGGGCCTTGGAAGATGGATATTTTCGTCTTGGATCAGACACGTGATGAAAAAATATCCATGATATACGGATTGTGCATCCCGAAAAGCTAGCTAAAGCTGTCAAAAACTTTCTCTATCGATGATTCAAAATATATTTCGAACCCTACCTTATTATTAGGTTAAAATCCTAATTTAATTTTTTATAATAATTTTTTATTTTAATTTAGTTTTATTTTATTTTTTTTTTCAATTTAGTCCTTAATAATTTAAATTAGTGCAATGTCAGATTTCTGTCCAAATTATTTAAACGGAGTTAATTGTTGGTCACGTGGATATCACGTGGATACTAGGTGAATGTCACGTAGATACATAAGTGGATGCCAAATTTCTTTAATGCACCTGGAACCAGAACGACCCGTTCTGGTTGCACATGTTGTGTGTTAATTTTACATTTAGAATGGGTCGTTCCATATGCAAAATTAACACACCACGAGTGTAGCAAAACGGGTCATTTTGAAACCAGAACGGGTCATTCTGGTTTTAGAACGGGTCGTTTTGGATTCAAAACGGGTCATTCCAGAATGCCAACCACATATGTACGTTCAATAAAATGTCGCAATGTTATTTAAAAATTGAAAATAAAAATTCATAACATAACATAAATTCAAAAACAGAAATATAGTTCAGATACTGAAAACAAAAATTCATAACATAACATATACTAAGAAAGTTTAAAGAAATTACTGAGAAGGGAAATCATCTAGATAACGCTGAAAGTGCCAATAATACATCTTATCCACCATATAACACTTAATGGCTGATAGGATATCAACATTATCTACCTGTACATGTGGTTGTGTGGTGAAATGTTGGTCCTGTGTGTCCTCTTCCTCTACTTCAAGTTGTACCTCCTCAAGAACAGGTTATTGTTGTTGGGGTACATCGGTTAATGACTTCAAGGGAAAATACCATGTCATTTCATCCTTGATTGTATAGTGTCGATTTGGTAGTAAGTGGTTCACTCTAGTTTGACTAACAATGAAATAAAACCTGCTACCATTGTCCTTAATGATACACTGCATTATCTTTAATGATACACTATATAGCCCAAATGTTTAGCAATTGAAGTTATCAATCCTCATTGACAATATTACCAAATCCAGTGTTTGAAATGTTTTGTATCATGGGTCTTTTTTCTTGCACGATTCACAATGTGATTTAGAATCACGGGCGCGAACTATAATCATCGACCGTTTGTGTTTGGCATTCTGGAATCAGAACAGCCCGTTCTGGTTGCACTATTGATATGTTAATTTTGCATCTGGAACGGCCCGTTCGAGGTGCAAAATTAACACACCAATAGTGGGACCAGAATGGGCCGTTCTGGTTCTAGATGCATTAAAGAAATTTGGCATCTACCTATGCATCTACGTGGCATTCATGTGGCCAACAGTTAACTCCATTTAAATAATTTGGACTGAAGTCCGACATTGCACTAATTTAAATTATTAGGGACCAAATTGAAACAAAAAATTAAAGTGAGACTAAATTAAAACAAAAAAATATTATAGATGACCAAATTAGAGTTTTAACCTTATTATTATTATTACTATTATTTTACAGCAATGTGGACCGCTGATCAGCATGGAACATAGCGTGTAGAGCTGTTATAACGGATTACAACTCTTGAAAAATTACAAATTTTATGATTAACCATATAATATAATAACACTTATGATACTTAATCTTTTTTTTATTCAAATATAATTTCAACTAAACGTGCACCCAATCTTACATTTTTCCCAAGGTAATTCAACCTTTTTTTTATTTTTTATATTTTTTTTTATGAATACATGGATATCACATGCTTATGTTTGTAAGTTTTGTTGAACGTGTATCAACACTTGGCTTAGATTTTTTTTTGTTAGCTATTTGACTAAGTCTTTAGGACTATTTTTTTTTTTCTTATTGTTATTTATTAGTCGTTTATGTTATTGTTATTTATTTTTTGTTTGTTGTGTTGTCTCGAAGAAATTTTTTATTAGAATCATGACCATGAAATCAACATTTGAAATATGGAATTTTCTAAAAAAATGAGTATGAAAGAAATGAAAGGATTAAGGGAATGCAAGCTCTC